CCAAACTTTTGTCATTGTCTGCGCTACCCGAACATTGTTCGAAGCTCCCAGATTTATATACAGTTGGATAACTACAAATTGTTTAGCGCACAAAGATATATTTATATTCGGTGTTATTTCCACTGTAGTAATAGTTCCACTGCCGTTTCACTATGTCATACTGTGGAAATATACAGTCATGTAATAAATATATAATCCATGATATTTTCTTTTGGGTTGACGTCAGCAAACACTTTACCATCTAGGTAGTATCAATCCTTGCAGCCCAGCCTGATACAAAATTCTGGTCGTAATCACTAGCGTCTGCTGTTGTCAACCTAAGAGAAAAAAATACCATGGATTATATAAAAATTCATTGAAAACACTTTTATCACTTCCATAAAGTAAAAGCTTCAAAACTCTATTAGTATTATGTTTAATAAATTGTTTTATTCTGATTCTCAGAGGTCAAGAAGTAAAAGTTTCAGTGAAGGAGCAATGGATCCCGAGACGGCTCACTATCTTCATCAACAATCAAATTTAGTTGAGGAACCGAAGAGAAGAACAAGTCTATCAGCTTCATTTGGAAAATTAAAACTCTCCAAGGTACAGACAAAATTTGAGTGTCAAGGTCAACTCTTGTCAGCTTTCACAAATTATAACCTGTACAACTTTTTTTCATATTTTTTCCAAAATTCTGATCAAAATATGAAAAATGCTGAACCAACATTATGGCGGGAAACCTTATAGTTCTCAAATCACCATCATTTCCCATAATGCATCATAAATCACCCTAATGCATCACATATTAAATAAAATTTTATCTCAACCAATACATAAACAATAACACAGAGTTATAAATTTGTTTCTTGTATGTGATTAACTAAATTACACTTCATTGTTTTAGAAAAAAAGGCAAAGCCTTCCTGGATTGGATCCGATGTATGTTCATTCAGAAGAGATGACTCCCGAGTATTCCACATCAGCTAAAATAGAACATGGTAAACTGAAATTCAAAACAAGACGAGCAAGTGAAGTTGCACTCCAAAGTAAACTACGACGAAATAGTGACACAAGTTCTGCTTCTAGCAAAGAGAACTTGGATACAATTGGACAACAGCGGAGGAGGGTGTCGATTTGTACACGAAAAAACACAGTGATGTTATCTCGGCATTTGTCAGATCTTGTCAAGTATACAATGTCTGTTGGATTCAATGATTTCACATACAACAGTGAGTAACACAATTATATCCAATATTATACACTAGATTCTATAAGATGAGGTTATGAAACTGTGTGGTATGCAATGATGATTAAAATATAGATTCACACGAAATAAGATAATCACAAAATCACAATAAACAATTTCTCAAAATACTACCTGTATTTATCGGGGTAAGCGCCCAGGGTTCTGAACATGGAAAATTGCAAAAAAAAGGGGTAGGCGTTTGCCCAAACATCTCCTGCAAAAAAAAAGAAAATTGACAAATATGAGTAAGTCTTGTATATGTCAATAAATTAGCATTTTTTTCATTTCAAACTAATTATCCAAAATAGACCATTTCCTCTCACTGGGAGATCCTGAATTATGTGTAAAATCAAACATAAAAACAGGACAAACATATTCCTTTCTTCAATGATTGGCATTTCAACAGCAAACTATAAAAACAAATTCAAATCGAATTGTTTTATTTTTTACGACAGACATTCGGCCTGCTCCTTTCACAGAATATGCAAGATCTCGCAGTAAACGTAAAATCACCTATTGAAAATATATTGAAAAAACATTACATGTATACTTGATATTGTTTATATTTTCTTTAGTATACATTGAAGTGTGCATATGGCAGTAAATGTTATTTGTATTTACTTATAGCACCTTGCTGGGAATTGCCATCGTTTGGTGAAAGTAAAGCTTTCCAACTAGCGTTAAACAGAGGACAACAGTTTACCCATTTCAACAAACGTAAACTGAGTCGTTGTTATCCAGCAGCATATCGTATTGATTCAAGTAATTATAACCCTGTACCAATGTGGAACTGTGGAATTCAATTAGGTAAGGAGTCAGCTGAAAATAACATTGTGCTACATATTGAGGTCAATTCGTTTGTATTTCAAAATGAGGCTAATGAATATTCATATTTTCTGATTTGATGATATTCCTTTTTTAATGAGCATCAATGAGATGTCCACTCTACACCTTTTCGCAAACAATTTAAAAGCACCAAAATCATCTCTAAGTGTTCATAATTAATATTTTTCCTGTTTTACAGTTGCGTTGAATTACCAGACTGATGGCCGAGCTATGCAACTTAATAATGCCAAATTCTCCACCAATGGACAGTGCGGCTTTGTTTTGAAACCAGAAGTATTATGTGATGGTAAGTCTTTCATATTTCCCGAACGTCACATGGCAATCATAACCAAGATGATATGATAGTGATTTGATTGTTATATCAATAATTAATATATAACATAACATTATGAAATTCTAACAATTTACAGTGCAAACTTTTACTTATTACTTGTACAGAGAAATCCATGTTTGATCCACATACAACTGAACCAATCCCTGGAGTACTCAGAAAACAGCTCATTATAAGAATTCAAAGTGGACAACAGCTGCCAAAACCACCACAGAGTATACTGGGAGAACGTGGAGAGGTAAAATTGGGCCGTACAACTCAAAATTTGTTTTTTGGCATGTTTTTTTACAATGTGAAAAATGGGTAACAGCAACAAACCTTGATAATATTAGGTTATTACGAAGATACCTCAAAGTATGCACAAAGACAGTACAGCGACAGTATCGACCGACGCGCAGGATACATCATGGGAATGCCGAAATTCAAAAAGTTTAGAACAGAATCAGCAAACTTCTTTGTATGGAGTCCGGTCAAACTCTGGTGGCAGCCATGTTTGTTTTTATTATTAGAGGACGCTTATGCGCGTTATCATTCCATATTTGGAATTCGCATTTCCTTATATGGTAAGATGAAAATACCCTGTAAAATACCACAAAATTATGGCACGCTGTAACTTATGGCGATAGATGTATCATAATAATCTTTAACTTCTTGCATTTATTTAGATAATAGACCCTTACGTTGAAGTTGAAATAATTGGCATACCAATTGATTGTGCACGGAGACAAACAAGGACAATACAAGACAATGGTAAGTGTCAAAGTTTGAAAATTATAAGGTATGACAACTTCCATATGATGTAAAGAGATCTCATTGAAATTGCAAGATTTGAATTCTTTTTTTTTATATGGAACTGTGAATGAAGTTTTTAAAACTGTTTATTATTAAAAAAGTTGATGTGAAAGATATAATTCAACGTTTATCTGCAGGATTTAACCCTGTGTGGGATGAAACCATGGTATTCACAATAAACCTGCCTGAATTGGCTTTAGTGCGGATTGTGGTCTGGGATGAAGATCCAATAGGAAGGGACTTTATTGGACAAAAAACACTGCCATTTACAAGTATACTGCCAGGTATGTGGGTATTTAATTATTAGAAAAAGAAAACACAAAAAGTAGTGAATTTTATAGGATAGGAACGTACACAAAAACAATGCTTGAGTAAAGTCCAATATAAGAAACATAAAAAGTAACACAACAAATCTTAATAATAATTTTAGAATCTGAAATACAAAATTAAATTAGCTAAAATACTACAAACATATTTGTTTACACTTGAAAAAATATTGATAAACAATTCTTTAGTTGGTAAGATTTGATAATCAGGTGAGTATTTGAACAGTGCATAGAGGAAATTTTTCCTGTGTTCTGAAAAACTGTTATGTTCACAATAAAAAAAAAGTAATGTTTTTCATCACCCACTTCATTAGAGTCACACTTGTTACATACCTTGTCAATTTTATTTATTCCCTTGTGACCCCTGTTTCAACTGGCAAGAAGTGGGCTGAAATACGGAATTTGATTAATTTGGTGTATTTCGTATAACATTCTACAATTTTTGATATTAACCATTAATTTGATTATTTAGTAACCAATGTGATTATTGCTTTTTTCCCAACTAAAATATAAAAACTTTTGTGTTATCATTCAACAAAGTAGAATGATAATTACTATTTACACATAACTTAATTTTTTTTTTTTTTTCAGGTTATCGTCATATTCGGCTGGAGGGTTTGAATGAAGCCTCTATATTTGTACATATCACTATTAATGATTTTTCAGATAAGGTAAGAATATTCAAATGTGTAAATGTGAACTGGTGATATTTTTGGACAAAAAAAATTAAGAGAAAAAGATGAGTCAATACTGTCCCTTGTGAGTGTGACCCACAGATGCCAAATACGTACTTGCCATACAATGTACATGTATCTACATTTTTTTTTTATATTTGGCGATAAAATCATATGACATTGTACTTATAAGGGGTGTTTATATGATTTTCAAAGATTTTTTTTTGTAGTTTTTTTTTTATGAATTAGTGCTTAAACTGTGAGGAATGTTTGCATTATTTCAGACAGATTTTCCTAAAAAAGATTTATTACTGGATAAAAATTCTGAAATGTTGATTACAACAGTCAATGTTATGTGATACTTTACATGTAAAAACAAAAACTTGTGATAAATGTTTCGGTCCTATTTCATAGATTGAATGAGTGTGATCAACCTTATTCATAACAATGATCAGTCATGTTTGTAATTACAATTTCTATTCAACCTGCAACATTACTGTAAAATCTGTATTAAAAGCCGCGGCTTCTATTAAAATGGTACAATACAATAGAGAGGATGCAGTGTCTATTAGAGCATCTACACATATGAGAAATGGTGATTTTGAGGTCTCAATTGTTCAAAAAGAATGGGTGCGGCTTCAATTAGGGATGCGGCTTCTAATTTTACGGTACATGTTTTGTTGGGAAATTTACAACTTACAGTAAGTTACAATAGTCAAACGATGTCGTCTTTCATAAAATAAACTCACTGTTTTTATGTTTTTTTCAATAACGTTTAATAATTATCTTGATTTGTCCTAGAATGAATGAGAAACTATAGAAAAATATGTTGTTACCACATCATTTTCGTGGGTTGTTTTTGATAATGACAGTACTGTAAAATGTGAAGCCGTAAGAGGGGATGCGGTCTTTATTAGAGCATCTACACATACGAGAAACGATGAATTTTTGGTTCTCAAAGAATGGGTGCGACTTCTAATACAGATTTTACAGTATATTTATCATAGTGTAAATCTTGATGTGTTGTCAGATAAAGAACAAAGCCAATAGAAAGAGAAATATTCTTTCAAAGACAGGAAGGCAGACGACACTTGAAGCCCCCGAGAGAGTATCATTGAGAAAAAAATCATTTACCAGTAAGCTGAGGAGGCAGAGTAGTGTGCCTAATATGCCAAGTAGTTCACGGAGACCTCGAGATGCTCCAGCGATTCATGGTATTAGAACAGAAAACAACAATGCTGATAAAGGTGATGATAATGTTTTTTTTTTGTTTTCCAAAAGTGTGTCTTAACTTTTTGACCTCCATGTACAAAGCACACAATGGGTGTCTTTGCAGTTAGCGTGTTTTGTCTCTTCCTCTGATATCTCAAGTATTAATCATCACCTTTCAACGAAACTTGGTACATGCGTGCCCTGGAACAATACACAGCCCCAATTAGTTTGGGGTTGAAATCTGTGCATAATATTTGCTTAATTTGCATAATAATTACCCCAATTTTTTTCGAAAAAACCAATCATTTTTTTTCACCTCACATATAACCTATTTGGCACAATGTACATAATGATCACATTTCATTCAAATTTGATTTATATTTTCTCTGGGGTAATCCACAATCTCATTAATTTATGGAAAATCAGCAATGCATTCTTTGCAGTTTTAACATATGCATCTAATCATCTTGCTTGACAACACTGACACTAAATAACCCTGGCAATGCAAAGTCACACTGCATGTATACTAATATTAAGCATAAATTTCCTGTATATGCATGTGTTATGTTATGAATCAGTTGTCTGACCAATCAAATGTGGCAGGGTTTTTTTAATTACTAAGAATTAATCAATTTTCTCAATGTTTAAACAAAATGTTCAGATATGGTGATTATTATATGCATTATGATTATTATATTCACATTCTGTTGTACAGAGTAATAGGACATTGTTTGTTAATCTTTATATTAGATCTTTTGATGAAATTCTTCGGAAAAAGACATTTAGCTTTATAAGTAGACTGCACCTTTCATCTAACCCCATTGTAACAACAACATTGTACATTTCAATTCATTCCCAGAGTTTAATATGGAAATTATGGGAGAAGAGAATTTTTTGACTTATATTTTTCTTTGCTATGGATTTTTTATGATCTGAAATAAACACAATAATAATAATTAAGGACTATTCCTTCTATCCTGCTCTGTCTCACCTTTTCCTTTTTCTTTATTAATTTCTAACCACTAACTCAGATGACTCAGCAGAATCTGCATAAATTCAAGGTAAACACTTTAATTTTCATTAAATACACATTTTTGTAACCAAGGTAACCAAATATTTGTCTGATCTCTGTAATATATTTTTCACCTCACTTTCTCATTTGTAAAGATCATCTAATGTGTTTGTTCGCATCCAAAATAATTTCCATCAGAAAGTGTGAACCTTTCTCAGTAACCTGTTCCATCTATATTTATTTGTCAGTATAAATATGTAAATCCTGAGAGTTACATACCAAAATTGTTGTGGTCAGTCAAAACAATAAGATGGCCATCATGCTGAGTATCCTTTATACATCTTCCAGTTTTACTGTTACTGTGTTAATTAATTTTTAGTATCATTTTTTAATCATCTTTATCTTAATCTGCAGGGATATCAAAGAAGAAGACTGTGACATTCGTGACTCCGGTATCTTATGTATTGCCTAGAGTTGTGAAGGCATGGCTCGACGAGAATACAAATAGAAATATCGGACCAGTGGAAATTCAAATGATTCTGAGATTTATGACAATATCTCAGTTGTTAACTGCTGTGAGGGAAGGACAACTATGTATCAATGTAGTTGGGTATGATCCTATACCACACAAGAAACAACTTTATATCAAACATTTACAGGCACCTCCCTGCTATACTGAGGCTGTTAAGCGATCATTATTGTATCGGAAGCGTGGATTCCATGGGTTAAAACCACACATCAGATATGAATTATCATCTTCTTTGTCTTCAATGAGTAGTACTATTTTACCAGACACCTCAACAGATCGAGATTCTTTGGATTCTTCATCAGTTGCTTCTACAAATTCCTCTTCTCATGATATGATGGACACCAAGCATGTGAAAGGTACATCGTACAGGAATGGTGGATATATGCCAGTGAGGGATGTCACCAACAGTTATCCCAAACGCTCCGTGAAAACCACCAAGAAAAAGAAGTACATAAAGTCACAGCATATTAATCAATCCCAGAGTTCATTGTCACATCCTTTTAGTTTGTGTCATGAAATTGATCGTACGAATGAAACAATGAGACCAGATGTAATGGATGCAGCATCAGCACTACTGATGCTTCATGGGGCTGAGAATCGTGAAGTGTTTCCCAGAGATGTTAAAACATTTTGTGACGAAGAAATGGAATGTTCATCTACGAGCGAATACAGGGAAACAGACACTATATCAGAACTGACTACAAGCAGTGAGAGCAGTAGTGAAGATGAAAGGAACCAGCCAACCTACCAAACTATTATGAAAACTATAGCAATGAACAATCCTGTTTCAGAATACGATGAAGATGTCATGAAAGATGACATAGATTCAGCTGATATAGGTAAAAGCACAACATGCGATTTCTTAATTGACAGTGAATCATCAAGTAACCAAACAACTTCTAGGAATTCTAGATCAGCATCTCATTCAACTAAGTATACAGACTTACAAATAATCAGTGACCAGGATAAATATATAGACAAGCAGGAAATAAAGATGACACACCATTTATTGAACCCAAAACAAACACCTAAGAGCAAATGTATAAATATTCAGGGTGAGAAACACAAATCAATCAGACCATCAACTAACTCCATGACAGTGTTTGCTGTTCTTTCAAAACCGAACAAGTTTGTTGGAGCAACAGAGGTAAAGTATGCAAACAGTGATGCAAAACCTGAAGAGAAACAATACAGGGAAAAGCAAAATGAACCACCAAATTTAGAAGTTGTTAGTCCAGATATATCTATGGATGTGACATCAAATGATCATATCTGGAGCTCCAATTTGAGTACATGTAGTTCTTCTGACTCTGGGGAGGGTTTTTATAGTGATTACTCGCCAAATGTGACATTGGAAAGGCCAGCAAAGTCTGCCAAAACAGTGTCAAACAAAGCAAGACATGATTCCACAAAAGGATTGCTTATAAAAATTCAACATAACACAGCAAGGAGGATTAAACATGAACAGGGAAAAGAGAAGGCCAAACGATATGTTGCTGGGCATTCAAATACTGATACGAATCAATTTGGTAATGTTTATGCAAATCATAATGGAAATCTGCCTCATAGCAATCTTAACGGACGAGATGATAAAGAGATGAAATTGAGAACAGATAATCAAATTCACACTGCGAATTGTGGCACATCATCTGATGTTAGCAAAGATGACACTACCATACATAAGATTAAAATGTCACAATCAGTATCTATCTCAGTAGATTGCAATTCTGATTCCAGCTGTGATGGTCATTCTACTACCAGCTCATCATCAGTGGAAACTGTTGTTGATATGTCTTTGGAATGTCTTGGGAAATGTACTCCAAAAACCTCTACTGTGATTCCTGCCAAAAAAGCAAATTCTCTCAGCCTTGATAATTTGACTTTGAGACAAATTTTCAACCAGTCTGAATATCAGTCATTCATGGAAAACATGAGCAAATCAAATCATAAGGATTGCTCAAAAAATAATAAATTCAGGAATGATAACGAACCTCAAACTAGGAAGTTGGACAAGAAGCTTGGACCAAAGCATTATGAGGCAATACTCAAGAGATCAACATCATCTTTTAACAAAAATAAGTCTGCTAGTACAACATCAGTTGCTGATCAGCTGAAAATGCTGACTAGCATGGATGATGATTTTGCTGTTGCAGCAGAGAAGATTCACCAGATAGACTGTTTTTCTAATGAGGATAAGACAATCAATTCGTCACAATCCAATACAAGGACGGATTGCCTGGACAATGGCATTGGACAGAAAGTTGGGGTAAATAAACATGCAGTACTTTTGGAATACACACCACAGTTATCCAAAACTAAGACAAAAACTACACCAGCATCTGAAACAATGTCAAAACGATCAAAACTTTCACAGAGTCTTTCACATTTGACAGACTTTAAAATGCCTCTATTGACCCGGAAAAAGACAGAGAATGTAGATGGCTATCTGTCAGATGAAACATGGCAACAGAAGAGGTGTGAACCAAAGAAAGATACTCGATCATCTGTGTTCCATGTGCAGCGATTTGGGGCTGCCGTGTTTGCATTGGTCAAAACGCAAAGCAACAATTGAAACATTTATATGTAGTATATATCCATATTTCTACTGATAGACATCCTGAAAATGAACAATATTCGTTAACTTTCACTTGCATGATACAATATTCAACATTTAAGGCAAATATGATTGCGAATATGTGGCTAATATTTGTTGTCACTGAGAACTAGTTTACTAGTTTTGTTGACCTCCATGTGAATAATTGTATTTATCTGAGAGTTTTTTTTTTAATTCACATCCAAGTGAGATTTCATTATGGCTGTGATTTTTACATAACATGTCCATAAACCATATCATATAAGACTACTAAGAGGGAATTTGTTTGTTGAATGGGAATATGTAGTTGTATGCGAGACAAATTCAGAAAGGCATGTGTTTAATAACTGAGTCTTTTCAATATAAGTTGTAAAGTAGGATATTCATATCAGTAATTGCCACTGCATTAACCTTTTGAAGACATTCTGCCTTGAGTGTCTTTTTTTCGGTATGGCTCGATTTACATGCAACATTTCAAATATATGTATATAATTATAACATTTCATTTATCAAATCAAATTTTTTGAGAAATTTTGTATCAACTAGACATTCTAACTCTCATTTTGCTAACTTCTACATTTACTCTGTAAATTAAATTCATTGTATACTATTTTCAGATAACTTTCTGATACATTTACATTTTCATTATTCTTCTCACACTTGTACTTTCTAAGGATTTTGACTCCTCCTAATCTTGTTTTAACTGAAATCATTTTGAAATGCTTAAAGCTCATTCGCGAAATGAAGAGAGAATAAAGGAAGTCTCAAAGCTGACCAATGACTACCATGGTGAGCCCTTAAGTGGTTGCATAATATAGTCAAATCGATCACACCATCCACAAATTACACCATAACAGGTCTCTGAGTAAAAGTGTACACTACATGAACTCCAGCTGCTCATTTGTGGGATTTCACATACATTTACTGAACATTGCTTTGACCTTGTGTTGGTCGCCAGGTTATTACAGTTGTTTCCTGGGAAAAAACATGAATAATGTTGATTTTTAACTTTCAATACATTTCAAACTGTATGAAAGCATGGCGATTTTTGAATTTTGTGAATACCTTTTCACACGTTTTATGACATTCGATTACAAATGTATGGTTCATTTTAATTATAGAGATATCTATATAAAGTATTTTTGATACTGTATTTATCCAGGTATCCGCCCAGGCTTTTGAAACTGCCCTTTTTATTACTACGGTTTGACACAATATTGGAGTTTTCCCTCAATATTTTATGCCTTTCTTTTAAAAAAAATCGTATACAAACATTTGATAAGCACAGTATGTGAAACAACATGCATGTAAATGTATTATCGGCCAATTACCTTTCTTTACGAATATTACATGTACTACGAGTTATATGCTCAAGTCCTGGACGGATACCCGAATATATACTGTAAATTGTTTCCAGTTGTAACATCATATAGCCTGTAACTATTACCTATTTTTGCTACAGTATTATGAAAACACATTATTGATCTTTGAGTACCAGATAAAGATCAATTTTTGAACAATAATTCTCTCAATTGGTTTAAAAATTATGGTGAGAGTTTGTTAATACAGCTCAAACAGTCATTTATGGGTCATCCACCTCAATTAATATTGTTAATATACAGAGAAAGACAACCACAAACAAACTGGTTTACAGTGTTACGATTTGTCTTTGTGGGCTTATGAAAACAGAGATGCATCTGGGAATGGGATGTTTATATTGCTTTTGATTGAATCATCAGAACTTTTTTTGTTTATTAATTCAGATTTTTAAAGTAAATATTTATCACAACTTTACTAGTTATTTACTAGTTGGATTGCCACTTTCAAAAAATAAAACTATCTTTATTTGAATTGATTGTATTTCTAATATCTGATTATATTTTAAGCTACAGTAATAATTTAAATCTCCTCACTGATTCGGCCATGTAATCTATTGTTCTGTAACTATATTGTATACTTTGTCTACAAAGTATCTTATATTCTGGTTGGGCTGCTCCAGCTTTCTTGTTTATTAGTCATACTAATTACGTGTACTACTTTTGTTCACATTAGATATTTGTCAAAGTTAAACAAAGTGATTCTTAAATCTGCAAGTTGGCCCCCGAAATTATAAATAATGGTATTGCCATCCTGGTGCACAGGACCTCCAGGGATTATGTGTAATACTTACAGTTTTGCTTCATTTTTTCGTGGTGTAGCACTGGCGCTGTCAAGAGAGATGTCGCGAAGGTAATTAGAAGTTAGTGTGTTCTGTGGATTCCAGTACCATGGTGCTAGCACATGGTCTAACACTGCACTAGCACAGAAGGCATGGGAGTTAGAACTCTGGACATCTGCATTTGAGCATGCAAAGCTGATCATCTCTACAATCCTTCTTTAATCTCTCTGTGGCAATTGAACCTCTGAACCTGCCCTTATAAAAATGTCAGCCTTGTCGCACAGTGCTGCGGCGTCTATACCTCAGGGCTGCTGCAGTCATGCTGCCCATTTCTTCACATGCAAATTAGCACTGCAGCACGGGCACGGATACGGCTACTTCTCGCACAGATACTTGCAGCGTGGATGTGGCTACTTTCCGCTCTGATCATTACAATCAAGTTTTTAGGATGTCGCTACCACCAAACCACTGGTTCACTTCACACCATTACTACCTTATTCCTACCTTTGCTGGAAATAGTACAAAACAATTTTCTCAAAAAACACTTACTATGATGAAAAGAGTCGTCTCTTCTGGAGGAGGATTGCTCCTGAATGTCAATATCAAATCCCAAGGCATCTGACTCGACATTGCAGAACACACCAAGTGCACACTCCATATAGGAAGTTCATCACAACTTAGATTCAGCTGCTTATCATTCTTTGCCCTGCTTTCAACTCGAATTGATTTCAACAATGTGGTTATTACTT